CACACACACATACACACACATACACACACACATACACACACACATGCACACACACACACACAAACACACACACACACACACACATACACACACATACACATACACACACACACACACACCTTCTCTCTCATTGCACACGCAAACGTATACATCCATTCAAATACACGCAAACACACATTCACGTACACAATTACTTGTATAATATTCCTGATGAGTGACCTTCAACCTCAACAATACCATGATGAACCAGCCATGAATCAACAACACGTATCTCGACACAAACACGTTTCAAATAAACATGAATAAAAGTACAGTGCATGTAATTATTCTAGACTTGGAGAAAGCAAAAAAAACTTTCCCAAAAAGTATATACATATAATATGCAGAATAGATTAAATAGAGATAAGAAAACCAGTGGTAAAAATGAGAACACTGTGGGGAAAATTTTGACCCCTTAGCCATTATGTACAAAGAAAACAACTGTGCGTTTTGGGCTTGTGGGAAGCGCAAGGTGCTGCTAATGTTGGTGACGCTGTTGGAGGCAAAGATGTCGGTGGTTGGGGAAGGGAACGTAGTGGGGCTGGGTCGAACTTTGGGACTTATTTTTAGCAGTAACCATTCTGAAATCAAATGTAAAAACAAACCCAAAGTTTTTTAGACTGTGTGCGAAAGAAATAGCTGTTGCGTCGAATGATGATACAGGTAGCCTGTAAGTGTAAGAGAAAATTTTGCATTCTTTTTGTACGGGAAACGTGATAACAATAGGGTGTCAGAAAATTGGACGAGAGTCCTATTAATCTCGAATATATAAAGCTTGCTACGGTCGGCTACCAGAGTACATTGTCATCTCCACTCGACTACTGAAGGTAAGAACTAACTTGTTATTTATAATAATATAAGCATGAAAACCTAATATTGTTTGTCTTAGATTTAATTGTGATTAGTAATAAGATTCATTCTTGTGTTGTTCAGAGACAGGTTGAATCCATTTCATCCTCGATCTACATGTATTTAAAAGCATGGGGTCGTTTATTTTCAGTAGTAATGGGTATATATCAAAGGTGAAATAATATCTTACTTTGTGTGATTATTACCCAACAGATGCCATTTACCCGTCTCATCCCCCCCCCTCTCTCTCTCTCTCTCTCTCTCTCTCTCTCTCTCTCTCTCTCTCTCTCTCTCTCTCTCTCTCTCTCTCTTTCTTTCTCTTCCCCTCTTTCTCTCTTTTTCTCTCTCTCTCACTCTTTCTCTCTCTTTCTCTCTTTCCCTCTCTCTCTCTCTCTCTCTCTCTCTCTCTCTCTCTCTCTCTCTCTCTCTCTATCTATCTATCTATCTATCTATCTATCTATCTATCTATCTATCTCTCTATCTCTCTCTCTCGTTCTTTTATGTGTGTTTCTTTCATTAAATATACGTGTGCTTTTTTTACGCCTTCATCCTCATAATTTAGATCATTTAGAAAACGAGCTTCAACCCTGCCTGTCATGACCAATCTGGGCTGAAAGACATATAAAGCGTCCGACCGCCACATCACAGTTGCGCTCATATGACCTTATGCAGTTGCAAACGCCGTAAAACCTATATTAAAACTGAAACAGACGCTAGTTGTGTATATATAGTATATGTGAACGTACGGAAGTTACTAAACTTATAACTTGTGTCTTCGATATTTTACTCCTTCCAGACATGACTACTTTGAGAAGAAGCTTTCTGTCCCTTTGGGCACTGTGTCTAGCCATCACTTTAATCCCAAGCCATGCTGAAGTGATCCACGAATTTGTCACCATCGACTATGAGTGGCCAAACTCCACTGCTCGAGCTCAGAGCTTAGCTAACGGAGACTACGCCCCGAAAACCGGGGTCGTGTCCGGCATTCAGGTAAATTACATGCATCGTTAGAATGCCTTGATGTGATACCGTATATGATAGTGACTCTCTCTCTCTCTCTCTCTCTCTCTCTCTCTCTCTCTCTCTCTCTCTCTCTCTCTCTCTCTCTCTCCTGGTGTCTGGGTTTTTTATTGACTGCATTGAATATTGCTGTTTCGGTCTCTCAATGTTTCGAATAATTGTATATCCATTTTAGGTATAAAATGGGCAGACATAAGAAGGAGTATGACTTACTGTGGTCCCGGATCGTGATAAATGCGGTGGAATCAGGCGCTTGTATAAATAATGATTCTGCTAGTTTGGCAATTTGTATCGAAATTGTGTTGCTGTTGGTTGCTTGGGGTTTTTTGGGGGGTGTGTATTGCTTTTTTTGTTTCTAGTGTGTTTTTGTTGCAGTTGTTGTTGGTGGTTTTTTGTTTTTGTTTGGGGTTGTGGGGTTGTTGTTTTTTGTGGGTTTTTTTTTAATTGGGGGGAGGGGTTGGCCTCAACACCTTTTATATCCGTTTTAAAAGACAATTTGTGAAATTTTTAATGAAACACGTTGGTCAAAGGCATACAAAAAATGAATTTGCAGTTTCTTAGGACACCTAAGCTTTGGAAATCTGTAAACTTTGGCGGCCATTTTCTTGCTACTTTTACCTCTGACACCAGGCAACCCCGCCTCAGTTAACAGCATATATCTCGATTTCAATTTAAGATAAATCGATATTTTTTCATCAAAAGTAAGAAAAAAATCAGACTTTAAAATAATGCCAATAACTTCATACATGTATAACCAAAACTGCCAAGCGCCGGATTCCGCCGCACCATGACACAAGTCAAAAAAACTTTGTTCTTTCTTTATCGAGTTGTGCGTATTTGACTCAATATGTAGACTTTTAAAAAGATCATTGATCGGACGCCGGCTCTTCTATTTTTATCTTTCAATTACCTCTCTGTATACCATTCTACCCCTTGTCTCCTCTGTCCATCCTCACTTTGTTTTCCCATGTCGTGCCTATTTCAAGGACAAGACTTTAGTTTTTTCGATCCCGTAAGCTTAGCTTTGTCGTTTGACACAGGGGCATTATAATGATGGACAACAACAGGCTGCAATGGTATGTCCAGGAACAGAGGTTAGACCCTATAACACGTGGGCTGTCTAAGGGTTATGATGCCATGTCGATGGAGTCTCTAATCAGGACGATCATGAGACCTCATTCGCTAAAACTTCTTTAATTTTGCTCCTCAGGTTTACAAGGGCAGTTATCATTACCTGTCATTTTTCGGGGAGCATGACGTCCCTTATACAACGATCTTCGTAACTGTCCCACGCACTCAGGCGGTGAAAGGAATCCCTTCGGGCCTCAACACAGTCGTCAAGGACGCTAATGGCAAATCAGTTCTTCGACCATATCCCAACTGGGCTGCTCAGAAAATTGGAGACTGCAGCGCTCTGCAACTCCCCATGAGCATGGCTATAGACCCGAACACTGGATATCTTTACGTCATTGACATTGGTCGTGTTGGAATTTCGTCCCCAAATCCTGCCAATCTCTGTCCAGCTAAACTTGTCGTGTACGATACAGTTGGTGGTGGTTCCACTATACTGAGCTATGAGTTTCCAGATTCTGTTGTCTCGAGAACGACCAATTACCTCAACGATATCGTAATCGACTACGTAAATCCAGAAGGGACAGGTGGAGTGAAGTATGCCTACATGACCGACACACTGACGAGGTCGCTCGTCGTCTATGACTTCGCCCACAACAAATCGTGGGCTTACAAGGTTTGTTCTCGCTATTCAAGACAATACGACTTATCATCATCTGTTACTGTCTGATAAGTCTTAATTCTCCTTAATTCCTGTCGTTTTTATCTCAAGATAATGCCTTCCGCTTTCCCTCGTTACATATAAAATTGACGTATTTATCGCAATCATCATTCTTCTTACATGTATTTGTTTTTAAATTTGATTTTAGAAACAGGCACGGGCTTCTTTTTAGTCAAAAGGTCGTACACCTTACACGACGCCAAGTCAACGGGAGAGAATGAGAGGGGTGAGTGGGTGCCTTGTAAGTAAACTTATTGATAACTAGATTGTCCGCAGTTTTTCTATTAGCATTAAACTAAGTACATGTAGAACGTTTTAAATGTCGGTTCTTTGTGCCCTGGTCAGTTACTAATTTAACCAACTTGCACAAGTTAAAAACACGATTTTGCACTTGGTACGAACAATTTTTTTTCCCTTTTTGATTGGTATTGCTTCTCCATTCCCCATTTTACCCAAACCTACCAGGACCCTGTCAGCATGGGCACAGATGATGACGTAGACATCACCATCCACGGCATCCGATACCGGATGGACGTCGGGATCAACGGAATCGCAATGTCCCCCACCTTCAACTACCTCTACTACTCCTCTGTTGGATCCAAGAAACTGTATCAGGTGAGGGTATTTCTAACAAGATATTTGATAAAACGGCAATATTTCGAGAACAGCGGGGGTGGGGAGGGGGGGGGGGTTCTTTCAAAAATAGCCTTATATACTTCAGTTCCCGTGTCATAAGAACACACCCCAGTGCCCACCAGTCACTTACCTACAGTCACACTACAGTTCTGTATGAATTCGTCCACTTACCATTTGAAAACTGTCTCTTTTTAATAACTGTACGGAGATTATATCTTCATCCAAACACCAAAAGAAGTGCCCTAAATCAGTTCTTAAATCCTGCCAATGTTTATTTTAAAAAGACAAAGTTAGACAATAACTTTTTGGACTCCAAAGAATTATAATTATTATTCTAGTCTACTCCATTTGGACACACATCACCCACACTGGTCTTGTTCCTTTTGATTATTTGGTATCATCTTGATCTGTAGATATCTTTCTCATTTTTTAATGGAATAAGCAAATACACATCTTTTGTAAAACAATAACATGTTCCTTCACTCTAGAGCTCTTGTTTCTTCTGATGGTCTTGGCTTCGGTACTAAGAGTGTACGGATGATTCTACATTTATGTTAAATAGTTTCGTTACTGCAGCTCCTACTTCCCTGGAACAGTAATCCTTTTTTCACTATAACATTCTTGTTCATTTTGTATGTGTGTCGATTCCAGGTTCCCACATGGGTTCTGAGAACGCCAGGCAATGACTTTGTCAGTAACACACGCCTTGTGGGCAGCAAGAAGTCTCAGGGTGGAGGGATGGTTTTTGGACACAAGGGACTTTTCTTCGGAGCTTTGGAATATGACGCTGTGTACAGGTGAGTCGCTAATCCATTAATACCTCGAAAACCTTTTGTTTCTCGGCCCGACTGCTTTTGTGTATGTGTGTGTGTGTGTGTGTGTGTGTGTGTGTGTGTGTGTGTTTGTTTGTTTGTTTGTGTGCGTTTGTTTGTGTTTACACTCCTTTTACCTTCCGAAGAGATCGTTTGAAGTACAAGTGAGACTTTCGTATTTATCTCTTATCTCCGATCCATTTTGTCATTTCCTTAAACTATTGTTGACCACACCAATATCGACGTCGTTTTCCCCAGTCTTCAAAGACACACTTGAACTAGAGAATAGAGAAAGTTGTGAAGCTGCTACATCCATTTTCTGATTTTGAAAGTTTTCTTTTCTTGGGTTGTTTTTATTCTAACCAGATGCCCTTATATTCGATGAAGAGTAAGAAATTTAGTGAAAGGAGGAAGAAAAATGTCTGTATCGGTGTGTATGTTTGAGATAGTCACAGATGGAAAAAGAGAGGGGGGGGGGAGAAAAAAGAGTATGAAAGGCGGAAGAGAACGTCTTTGAAAAAATAATTCATTCTCGTTGTTAACATCCAAGTCCTATATCTCGCTGTCAGTAAACAGAAGAACAACTTAACTGCTTGTTATTGTCACGAAACGTTTATAACGGTACCCCTCCCTTTAATAAACCAACAAATCCTCCCTTTAACAAATCAACCAATTCAATTCCTCCCTTTAACAAAACCAACAAATCCTCCCTCTAACTAACAAACAACAAACCTCCCTCAGATGGGACATCGAAGCTGACATCAAGTCCCAGCGTGTGTTGGAAGGGGAGGTTGTCATGAAGACCCAGGTCCCTGTGGCTCAGAACTGGCAGACCATGCAATGGACGGACGCCCTTTCCCTGGACAACGAGTCCAACCTGTACTTCACAACCAACAGACTGCAAAAGTTCGTCACCAACAAAATGGACTTCGACGGAGGAGAAGGCGCTAATTTCAGAATCTTCAAGTACAATGTACACGATAAGTCCTATCTGTCACCTCCATCTCCATTCGATGGTCCCGAAGTCGTGATAGGATAAGGGATGGAACACTGATAATGTGGCTTCTATGTCTCATTAACTAAACTGTGTTACTGCACATATTTTATGTGTATTTTTCTTAAATAATGTGCAGTAGCATAATGGTAAGAAAAAAAGCAACAACCGAAAAAGCATTTTCTCCTCCTGAAATCTACTTTTCAACCTTCAATGTGTCGATTCTTTCGAGCCTCTAGTGTGTGAAAAGGTTAAACAAAATATTGTAAAATACAAAATATGACATAAATTATACAAATGAGTGTTCTTGTTGTTGTTCGTTTAAATACGCAACTACGTTGTAAAATAAGTATGCTCGTTATTGATAAATAAAACAAAATCTTCAACATAATATGTAGTATGTGCTTCTGTATATTATGTGTATTCTAAATATACAGCTGGTTTGATAATGTAATCGCTTGATCAAAGAAGTATTTTGACGAGAAATACATGTACATACACTTGATTAAAATGAGTACACAAAATTGGCACTGAAATAAAATATTCCTGTGTTTATTCATGTTATTGATGGGAGCCTAACATAAATGTTGAAAAATAAACATTACGAGCACATGAATAATTGTTTTTTGTTCATGAATTACATGTATGAAAAAATATGAATAACAATAAGGTATGGGTGCAGATGTACGGTCTGTGGTCGTGTCCTCCTCGGCGCTCCTTGACGAGGTAATGACGGATACAGTCATTCTATTTAATAGTCATGAGAGTGATTATTTGTATAGCTTTTGTTACTTAGCACACATCCACACTGTCTATTTCTTTTTTCCTTCCATCTTTCCTTCTCTTTCTCACTCTCTCTCTCTCTCTC